TACCCTGGTGAGATGGTCCCTTTTACCCCTCCCTCTTTTATGTTTTGTCTGTTTTTAATGTATTTTGCCTCACTCTGTTGCTATGCTAAAACCCTATATAAACATTGTATTTTCTGCAGTATGCACCATGTTGAGATGCAGCGAAATCGTCCTGGACATAAATCGTGCAGTATTGCAATATGGTCTTTTCTTTTCAGATATATCTGTCGTAAACAGTAGCGCTCGTGCTTCTACTCATCATTTTTGCAACGAGGCGGACCCAAGCGTATGGAATGGTGTTCCATCTTGTCCACTTACTAAAGATAGGTACGAATCTTGAGGGGAACATTTTTGAATTCCAAACAATCCAGAACCTGATCAGAAACATATCTTCTTTTTGATTAATAGCACTTAGCACTCCAAGGGAATTTTTACGGATCAATCAGTTAGCTTGGGTCACAATTAGAATTCGTTTAGCTTTCCCATACGGCATCGAGGTGTATCATCGCCACCATGTAAAATGTTATCAAGCTGGTTGGTTTGGTTACCCATCTATTGGGAGAAAAATCAACCCAGGTTAGTTGCATTGTGTGCGCTTTATACTAACAGCCAATGGGATTTGCCGCACTGAACACAGGTGTTGCATGTGATAAGGTTTTTATCTCAGTTTTCTTCTTCCTCCTCTTCAGGATCTTGGGATATCCTCCTGGACTCAGACGGTCTGGACATGGCGCTGCTTCAGCGTCGTGACCCGATTCTATTTTACGCGGATACCACATTGTATGAAGATGAGCTAGGTGACAATGGGATATCAATGCTGAATGTGAAGTTCCGTGCCATGCATTCCGGGTTTTTCTTGCTACAACGATTCTTCCTTCGTGTGGACGGTGGCCTGGTTCGTTGTTTCGATACTCGGTTGCAATGGAGGACAGAGGACAAGTGAGTGTGATTCGATTTTGCATCTGCGAGGATTGCTTGCGATTGTTTCTCATGGAGTTGATTCCCGTTTCCTTCATTGTTGATTTTTGTTTTGAAAAATAACTGGCACTAGTGATTAGATAAACGAACTTGTGCGATTCAGAAAGTGGGCAATACACCTCTCCATTGGACTAAGAGCCGATTTTCTCCTATTTCATTTGGTAGAATGGGACGTCAAATTCATTTCTCGGAAGAGATCAGGGAACAAATTGATTGCGGTTGGTAAATGCATTGGCTAATGTATCATTATTTAAAGCATAGATTGAAAATTTGAAAGCTACTCTAGCACTCAAACTATTCACAAAAGCTTGCAACTTACCTGCCTCTTCACTTAGCAGTAGAATGTCATCTGCATTTGTTGTCTACCGTTTGGGAGCAACTCGATGCAACTATCCTCGCACGAGGACAGGGCTGTTTCCATAATCAAATCTATAACCAAGGTGAACAGAAACTGAGCGAGAGGACAACCCTGATGAACACCGTTTTCTGTGGCGAACTCAAATAAAAAATAGTCAACTCTGTTTCGGCTATTCGTATAAATAGATCGTTATATTGAACATAATCAACACTAGACAGGGGTTACTGTTACAGAACGACTCAGACTGAAATTGAACTCAATTTCCTAACCGAATGTTGTTTTGAGTCATGAGTGGAAGGGATTGAGTATTGAACGCATTGATGGCTATGAAAAACTGATTGTTCTTAAGAACTATGTTGTAAACCTAGTGAATTACGTATGCAAACATCAAAACCTTCACGTAGTCAGGTTTCGGATTCTAATATCCTTTGGGAACAAATGGAACAAATGCTTCGGTCACATTAATCACAGTTTGGTTCCATCAGGGATGGGAAGCTTCGCTGTGAAAACTTAACCTCCTACAACTGTATCCATTTTCACTTATCATCATCTCCGTAGTTATATGATCTTTAAAAGGTGGTCATATGTAGACCGGTCTATTTTCAATGTTTTCTTCCGTTTGTTTCTAACTGCCAGTTGCTTGATAGTAGTGTTTGGAGATTTGTGCTTGGTTTTCATTCATCGTCTTGTAAACTGCATATTTAAGCACAATCAGCTCATTTACTCAATCATAGATTTGTGAGGCGCTGGACTCAAGTTTCACCCTCCTTAGAGCTCATCTGTAGTGCTCATTCATTCACCTATCTAAGATTTCAACTCCGGACCCCTTACTTGGAAGATCAGTGTGTTACCACAAGAGTCAAGTGAATACAACATTTTATTTGATCATCCAATGGACAAATTTACAGTACTTCATAAGAGCGAGAACTAGCATCATCACAGAACAGGTTAAATTAAACTGTTTCATGTTATCTCTTCCCCTGTGTGCACAAACATTTGTGTGAAAGTTCGATCAGGGCAATGACAAATCTCTAAACATCAAAACACTCAACTAGGCAAAATCAGTGCGAAGGTCGAAAGCCTCCAGTCACACTCGGGTTGAACAGAGGGAAACGATGGGAGAACATGTTTATCAATCAGACTCACGGTAACAGCCCTACCATGGCAGAGTGAGACTTTCTTCAAAGTTCAGTTGTTTGCAGAGGTCAGGTTTGTGACGCCGAATGGCTACGGCCTCAGTAAACCACAACAACGCTCAGTTTTCTGTTGGTTTAACACTCGGTATGCTTGCTTTAAATCGATGCGAAGTTTGCAATCCAATATTATGATGGGCAATAGAGCTGGAAGAAACCCTCGAGCCACTGAGCGTTCAATTTTTCGGGACGTGTTCTGAGATCCGAGTGGCCAAGCGTCTCCAAGTTTTTCCGATATCCTTGCTACCGCAAGTGCATTGAAATAGGTAAATACACGAGGAGGTTACTTGAGAGTTCAGCTTGTCCAAGTTGGATTCAGTAATCAGTCAGTAATGTCAATACTTCGATATCACCATTTGCAGAAGAGCAACCCGTAAAAAGTGGAATTGGGGTTAGCGGGGTAAAAATCGGGTGGTGTAAACTTATTAAAGCAAGCTTCAATATCAAATCATCAACCAGTCGTTCTTTCTAGGGAAATAGCCTAACTTGATGCGGAGCAAGGGCATTGTGTTGTTTTGTATTGTATCGTGTATAACTTTTGAAAGCACTATAACTTACATTGAATGTTATGTAGCAGTGTGGGTTTACGATGACTTGAATTTGTTATGAGTGTCTGATGTAGAAATGGAGCAAGGAAGGTAAATAGAGACTGGGTAGGATTTGTCAAACTCAACGAGCAATGAATAAGAAACACTGTAATGCGTGGTCATCCATTGCTAAGGACGATTAGGGAACGTACAACTCGTTGGTCAACAAATATGGGACCGAAATACACCAACATGTTTAATATGATGCTCTCAGATAATAGTCGAACCTGTGATGAAAATACTGGGCACATTAGCCGCGGTTTCAGTGGTTGTAAATATTCAGTCGAGTACGAACAGCATTTTGTAGGAATCAATGCCAGGTCTACAGCTTTTAATCATTCTTCAACTGAGGCAACAGAATGGTGTGGGTTTCTGTTGAGAGTTGAATGGTCAGTAGTCACGTAGCCATCCGGACAACTGGGAGGGTATATGCTGGATTGGTTTGGTGAAGTTAGTAGTAAGTTTCTTTTGATAGAGTAAAAATGTTTTTATGGTCCAGAAAGCAGACGTGAACCGGTTTGTGATTCTGGTCTATAGAGTAAAATAGCCAGACAGTGGCATCGAAGGTGGAACTCTACTTACAGCGTGCAAATTGGTTAGAGTCACTGATGTTTATTGAATATGAAGGAATATTGTTTACTATGGTATCGATGTTGAGGCCATTGGGTGAAACTTTCGTGTCCCGCCGTGAGTAGACTGTTTCCCTCAGGGAGCCAACGACCAAAGCTATCTGACAGGGTTCAAGTAGAGTGTTTCACAATAGTTTTTAAAATAACCGGATGGGGCCAACATGTGCAGAACTTTTATTTGAACTGCGGCTCGCGGAGATCGTCTCGGTAGATTGTGACAAGGGTTTGTGCGTAGTTAACTGGGCAAATCTATACGCACTTCATATGCGGGACTAAATGAGTTGGTAAACTCCTCTAGTTCACACCGGCTGCGGGAAGTGGCTCAGTCTTATCATTCTTTTCCAGAGCT